AACTTATTCTGTAAACTTATTCTATAAACTTATTATATAAACTTATTATATAAACTTTTTCTGAAAACTTATTCTGTAAACTTATTCTGAAATTTTATTCTATAAAACTATTATATAAACTTATTCTGTAAACGTATTCTGTGAACTTATTCTGTAAACTTATTCTGCAAACCTATTCTGTAAATTTATTCTGTAACCTTGTTCTGTAGACTTATTCTATAAGCTTATTATATAAACTTATTCTATAAACTTATTCTGTAAACTCATTCTGTAAACTTATTCTGTAAACTTTTTCTATAAACGTATTCTATAAACTTATTCTGTAAACTTATTCTATAAACTTATTCTATAAGTGTATTCTGTAAACTTATTCATAAACTTATTCTGTAAACTTATTCTGTAAACTTATTTTATAAACTTATTCTGTAAACTTATTTTATAAACATGTTTTATAAACTTATTCTGTAAACCTATTTTATAAACTTGTTTATAAACTCATTCTGTAAACTTGTTTTATAAACTTGTTTTATAAACTTGTTTTTATACTTATTTTATAAACTTGTTTATAAACTTAAACTTGTTTATAAACTTGTTTTATAAACATATTTTATAAACTATTTTATAAACTTGTTTTAGAAACTTATTCTGTAAACTTATTTTATAAACTTATGTTATAAACTTATTTTCTAAACCTTTTTTCTAAACTTGTTTTATAAAGTCTTTTCATAAAGTTGTTTTAAAGTCGTCTTATAAAGTCGTCTTATAAAGTCGTTTTATAAAGTCATTTTATAAAGTCATTTTATAAAGTCATTTTATAAAGTCGTTTTATAAAGTCGTTTTATAAACTTGTTTATAAACTTGTTTTATATATTTATTCTGTAAACTTATTTATAAACTTGTTTTATAATCTTTTTTCTAAACTTGTTTTTATACTTATTTTATAAACTTGTTTATAAACTTGTTTTATAAACTTGTTTTATAAACTTATTTTATAAACTTGTTTTATAAACTTATTCTGTAAAGGTATTTTATAAACTTGTTTTTTAAACTTCTTTAATAAACCTATTCTGTAAACTTATTTTATAAACTTGTTTTATAAACTAATTTTCTAAACTTCTTTTCTAAACTTATTTTATAAACTCGTGTTATAAAGTCGTTTTATAAACTTGTTTATAAACTTGTTTATAAACTTATTTTATAAACTTATTTTATAAACTTGTTTATTAAATGGTTTTATAAATTTATTTTATAAACTTGTTTTATAAACTCGTTTTATA